GTGGGTCTTCCGTCCGATTTTTGATAAGATGAGATCAGAATTTGACTGAGATTTTTGTTCAAATATAATGATAAAAATAAATTGTTAAGACGAAAATTTTGCTTCAGTACTGTGTATTAAAATATTGATCATTAAAGAGTTATAGATTAAAGACCTTCGGCCCGTCCTGGCCCCTATTTTGAGGGACCAGCCCTTTTTTCTTGGTTTCTTCTTATAGCTCTCATGATTTTGAACATTTTTCTTCAACAACTATTCTGAAATTCTTTTTCGCTTCCGAGATATATGCAAAAGAAATATTTAGGGGCTGACCCTTCAACTCCTTAATGGGGGCGTTTAACAAAAATGAAAAGGTTACATATTGTTTAAATCCTTATTTTGAACATCTTTTATTCAACACTGCTTATCAAAATATTTCCCAATTTCGAGATATAGAGTGCCAAAGATGTGTCATTCTGGCCCCTTGTGGCCCCTAATTATGTAACATATGATGTGAATATTATAATATATAGTTGTGAATTGTTGAGATAAACATGTTTGCTTCAGTAATGAATTACAAAATATTGAGCATTAAAGAGTTATTCATCAAAGACTATCGGCCCCTCTCAGCCCCTATTTTGAGGGGCCAGTCCCTTTTTCTTCATATCACTTTTAAGCTCTTCTGATTTTGAACATTTTTTGTTCAACAACTATTCAGAAATTCTTTTTCGTTTCCCAGATATTTGCAAAAGAAGCATTTAGGGGCCGGCCCTTTAACTCCTTATTGGGGACGTTCAGCAAAAAATAAAAGGTTGCATATTGTTCAGAACATTATTTTGAACATCTTTTGTTCAGTATTGCATATCAAAATATTTCCCACTTTTGAGATATATAGCGTTAAAGATTTTGCATTTTGGCCCCTTATGACCCTAATTATGTAACATATAATGTGATTATCATAATATGTAGTTGTAAATCGTTAATATTAACATTTTTGCTTCAGTAATGCATTACAAAATATTTATCGTTAATGAGTTATTGATAAAAGACTTTCGATCCCTCTCGGCCCTTATTTTGAGGGACCAGCCCCTTTTTCTTCATATCACTTTAAAGCTCTTATGATTTTGAACACTTTTTGTTCAACAACTATTCAGAAATTCTTTTTCGTTTCCGAGATATTAGCAAAAGAAGTATTTAGGGGCCGGCCCTTTAACTCCTTAATGGGGGCGTTTAGAGAAAAGTGAAACGTTGCATATTGTTTAGAACATTATTTATAACATCTTTTGTTCAATATTGCTTATCAAAATATTTCCCACTTTTGAAATATAAAGTATCAAAGATTTTGCATTCTGGCCCTTAATGGCCCCTAATTATGTAACAGATGATGTGAATATTATAATTTGTAGTTGTAAATTGTAAAGATAAATATTTTTGCTTCAGTAATGCATTACAAAATTTTGATCGTTAAAGAGCTATTGGCTAAAGTCTTTCGGCCCCTCTCGGCCCCTAATGTGATGAGTCAGCCCTTTTTCTTTGTTATCATATAAAAGATCTTGTAATTCTACACAATTTCTATTCAATATGTTTTTTGAAAATCTCCATAGGTTTAGAGTTATGATAAAAAATGTCTCGAAAATTCACTACTGATTCATGTTCTAAATTTCGACCCCTACCGAGCTTCCATACTAGGTACTTCTGGAAAATTTGAAAACTCAGGTGCAAAACTTCAACATGTCGTCTATAATCGCTGAAAATTTCAGCGCTCTAGCTTTTGCTGTTTTTTAGTTTTTGTGTCGACAAAATGGTTATCTGAAAATCAATTAAAGGGCGATAACTTCCGACCGGAAGTGAATTTTAAGGATTTGAACAAAAAAGGATCATCTTCAGATCAAAAGGCATTACCCCTGAAAATTTCATGAAAATCGATCGAACCGTTTGCGAGATATCTTCTGCACAAAAATTGTAAAGAAAAAGTGGAATAATAATAATAATAATAAAAGTGAAAAAGAAACAATACAATAATAGAAGGGTCTTCCGTTGGAGACGGAAGACCCTAACTAGATGAGATCTCGCTGCGAGCAACGAGTAGGTCTTCCGTCCGATTTTTCGATAAGATGAGATATGATTTTGACTATGATCTTTGTTAAAAGATAATAATATATAGACTTCCCTAATTAGATTTCATTCTTTTGATTTATATAACATTATCAAAGAGCTATAGAAGACATGCTTTTGGCCCCTCTTCGCCCCTAGATTGAGGCGTCAGCAACTTTTTCTTGATATCAATTGAAAGGTCTTGTGATTTTTTTTTGTTGTGGAGATATGCTGAATGGAAATATTTAGGGGCCACCCCTCCAAGTCCTTAGTGGGCCCGTTTGACAAAAATTAAAAGTGTGCATATTGTTTAGAACATTATTCTGACCATCTTTTGTTCAGTATTGCTTATCAAAATATTCCCCCTTTTCGAGATATAAAGCGTCAAAGATTTAGCATTCTGGCCCCTTGTAATCCTTATTACGTAACATATGATCAGAATCTTATCATATATTGTTGTAAATCGTTAAGATAAGCATCTTTGCTTCAGTAATGTATTACAAATTATTGATCATTAAAGAGTTAAAGATGAGAGACTTTTGGCCCCACTGAGCCCCTAATTTGAAGGGTCAGCCCCTTTTTCTTGATATCAATTGAAAGGTCTTGAGATTTTGAAGACTTTTTGTTCAACAACTATACGGAGATTTCTTTTTGTTGTGGAGATATGCTGAATGGAAATATTTAGGGCCCATTCTCAAAGTCCTAAATGGGGCCGTTTGACAAAAACTGAAAGGGTACATATTGTTTAGAACATTATTCTGGCCATCTTTTGTTCATTATTACTTATCAAAATATTCCCCCTTTTCGAGATATACAGCGTTAAAGATTGAGCATTCTGGCCCCTTTCAGCCCCTTATTATGCAATGAATGATCTTAATTTTATAATATATAGTTTCAAATCGTTAAGATAAACATTTTTGCTTCAGTAATTGATAACAAAAAATTGATAATTTATGAGTTATAGATGAAAGACTTCTGGCCCCTCTGAGCCCCTAATTTGGGGGGTCAGCCCCTTTTTCTTGATATCAAATGAAAGGTCTTGTGATTTTGAACACTTTTTGTTCAACAACTATTCAGAGATTTCTTTCGATTATTGAGATATACTGAATGGAAATATTTAGGGGCCACCCCTCCAAGTCCTTATTGGGGCCGTTTTACAAAAATTGAAAGGGTGCATGTTGTTTAGAACATTATTCTGAACATCTTTTGTTCAATATTGCTTATCAAAATATTTCCCCTTTCCAAGATATAAAGCATCAAATATTTATCATTCTGGCCCCTTATGGCCCCTTATTACGTAATATATGATCCTGATTTTATAAAACGTAGTTGCAAATTGTTACGATAAACATTTTTGCTTCAGGAATTTATAACGAAATATTGACTGTTAAAGAGTTATGGAAAACAGATTTTTGGCCCCTCTAAACCCTAAATAGGAGGGGTCAGCCCTTTTTTCTTGATATCAAATAAAAGCTCTTATCATTTTGCACAACTTTTATTATATATGTTTTAACAAAATATTTACAGGTATAAAGATATAAAAGAAAACGTGTCAAATTTTGCGAGATGCTTATGAGCCTATTTTTCGAGCCCAGGCGAGCTTCAGCGCCTTTTGCGCTGGGAAGATATAGACTCAAAAAAGCACATCTACGATCCTTCCTCTACCTTCACTGAAAATCTCAACTCAATATCTTTAAGCGTTTAGGAGTGATTGCCAGGACAAGCCGACCCTCTGAAAATCAGAAAATTGTCCATATCTCACGATCGGAAGTGACGTCATCAATATAAAAAATTTCCAATAAGGTTCAGATCAATATCTATCAGATCTGAAAGTTTCGTGAAAATCGACCGAGCCGTTTCCGAGAACTCGCTTGCACAAAATCGGTAAGAAAAAAAAAGAATAATAATAATAATAATAATAATAATAATAGGGAAAAAGAAACCGAACGAAAACAATAAGGTCTTCCGTTGGAGACGGAAGACCTTAATAATAAGAAAAGTGAAAAATCAACAATAGAATAATAGAAGGGTCTTCCGCAGAAGACGGAAGACCCTAATAATCTTAACCATCAGAATCAGTAGAAGGTCTTCCGTTGGAAACGGAAGACCTTAAATATAAAATGAATCATTTATTACATAATATCTAAATCTACTTATTTGTTATTAATTTGCTAAATTTATGTCCCTCAGAAATTTTACATAATGAAATCAATGATTGCATTTCAAAAGTTTAGAAAGGATTTATTTTTTCTGATAAACTTTATTTAAATAGAATTAGCTTATATAGTATTTTGACAAATAAATAGAGGATATTTCAATGTTTGTAGTAGGATATGAAATTCAAGAGTGAAAGGATTTTAGATATTTTCACAGGTGAATTTCAAGTACAAAATATTAAATCTTCTGTTTATTACATTTTCTTTGATTTTCCCTTTGCCTCAGTCTTTTTCATAACACAGAGTCATAGGCTGTGGTGTCATAGTTGAGCGGTTGAGTTATCATTGCTTACCAATTGTGAGACTGAAAACATTATAATCAAGGATTCCAACAACATACATGTATTTGGAGAAACTTTGGCAGTTTTGTTCTCTGGCAGGGTCATTTATTTACTCTCCCTTTCTTATAATGGACCAGGGACATTTTTTTGATACTCTTCTTAACGGAAGGAAAATCGAGAGCTTTGCCTCCTTTGTGGCGTTCTTTCTCATTGTGACAAGATATCACTTTAATATTTTTTCACACCATTCACATTATTCAGTGCAATTTCTGAAAGTTGACTTTTATAGAAAGGAAGGGCTTTGCTCAGCTTGGACAAGTACTGTAAACAAACTTTTATTTGCAACAACTTTTATTCGTCATTTGTCAGTTTGAAATTTATCGGTGACGATTAATTTTTGCGACAGAGGAATTGTTTTTACTCAGTTATGTATTTATAAAATATAACCAAGAGAGTACAGAGGTTTGCCTTCATCATCAAACTGAATGGTTTGTTTCTCTGTTGAGCCAGAGTAACGGACAACTTTTGTTTGTTTGTCATCATCACTTCGCATGATAACCAGGAGGTCATCAGAGGAGGTACTACAGATACTGTCAGATCTCCAGTTCTGTTGTAGTCTGATCACCTCCTCTTTCTCTTCATTCTTCAAAATGTTCACAGTTCTATCACTTTGACAGTAATCAGAGTAAACCAGATCTCCACTTTTTGTCACTGCTATGTCACATGGTATGTTTCCTGATTTGGTTGTAATTGACTTTACTAGTGATCCCTGATTGATGTTGAAGAGTTTCATGGTCTTGTCTCCACTTGTCCAGATTTCTTTATTACTCACACAGGCCACATTGAAAAGCAATGCATACCCAGTGTCTATGGTGGTGACAGTCTCTGGTTCATCAAGCAATTGTTTGACTGGAGGAGAGGATCCAGGTTCTGGTGATTTCTGTGGTGTCTTCATGCTGTAGCCATGTTTATCTGAAGTTAAAGAACTTGTTGCTTAAGTGCCAAACAATTTACTGAGTTCTTCTCTTTGAATTTTTCCAGGCATGAATATAGGTTTAGACTGCACAAATTTTTGTGGAAGTTTTTTGTATCTTTCTACATTGAATTTAACGCTAAAAAGTCTTGACAAGTCATTGGGGTCTTAAATAACATTGACTGAATGAATTTCATCCTCCATGTTGGTAATTGCCTTCTTTATTTCATCCAGATGTTTCTGTAGAGTTTGTAACTGTGTGTTTTTCATATCAGTCCTCTCCATGTTTTATTATGTCTGATGAGAGATCTCCATATTCCTTTTCTAAATGACTTATAGTGTTTTGTACATCAGAGGCGATGTCCTGGTATGTTGGATAAACTGTTTCTTTTAATTCAATTTGTTCTTGAATTATTTTGTTCTTTTTTACAAGTCACAAATAGAAAACTACAAAGTCTGCAGTGAGGATTCTATATTTTCCCCCAAAGATGGCCGTCAAGGGACATAACTTTTGAAAAGTGTGAATTCAACTATTGAACAGGAAACAGTCTTCCTGATTTTGCTGGGTTTATATATCGATGCATAATTTTTTCCTAACTTTAAAAATAAAAGGAAGCTGTGAAAATTTGTGTGAAAATGAAAATTTTATTCAGTCCTATAAGAAAACAGATACATGTACAGTGTATTTGATTGCACTTATGTAAACAAAACAAGCCACTGCATGAGAAATTCTGGATATAAAACTAAAAAAAAAATATTTTTCTAATGTTTAAAGAACATATCTTAAACATATTTTAAAAGATGTTTGTTTGCTGTTGTTTTTAAAAAAAATTAAATAAAGTATAAACCGTATTCTAAAGGAATATCCTACCTGAAGTTTAGGGAACCATAATGGCGACCGCCCAGTACACGTCTAGCCTCTTTCTGTTTACTCAGATCACATGACTACCCAGTATACAATTTCTAAAGCCTTATTCTTATTGATTTAAAGGCAAGATTTTAATATATATATATATATATATATATATATATATATATATATATATATATATATATATATATATATATATATATATATATATATATATATATATATATATATATATATATATATATATATATATATATATATATATATATATATAAAATACATTCTCTACTTCAATGTCCCAGTTATAAGGAGTTGGATCTTGCACCTCACGCACAAAACATTTAATACATCAGAGTATTGAGACTTTACATGGAACTCTGTATTACATTGAATTTCTTTCAGGACCTGACAAAACATTTTTTGCAAATAAAAGAGGAATATGTCAAATATTTCATATTTGTTTCCCATTAGAACTTCATGAATCTAAATTTCTTTTATTTAACAGTAATTAGAGTTTTAAGAATGTATTCTGCTGACAATGTTACGGTGCCAGCAATTTTTATGGAACTCCTAATGCTTTTATCCATCAAATATATAATAATGTTTTTTCGCTTAATTACCCCCTATTTATTCGTTATACGAATTCCTTTGATCCGCTTTTGACCATTTATTTGTCATGTCATCTGTAGACCACGATGATACATACAAGCTGGATGGATGAAAAAGGTAAGTAAAATCTTCCTTTAACAATATCTTGAATTCACATAATATGTCTTTGACGTGTGAGTCTTCGCATTAATTCATTTGAAAAACAATACACTTCTTTTGATGTACTTATTTGGCATGTCCTTTGTAATCCTTTTCAGGTCTTGTGCTGTAAGATATTATAATAAAATAAATAGAATCATCACTAACATTTCCATCATTTTTTGTAATGCTGAAAATTTTTGCTAGTTTTTCGATTTTAGAAATGACGATCAGATATTCCAGATGTGCATTTTAAAACATTTTGATTTTTTTTAATGACCAATGCTTAATATAAACAATGACAATTTTTGTCCACGCAGATGGCGCTTGGACAATCTTTATGAAACTTCACAGAAATAATTATTATCATCTTTAGTTATGCCATTTACATTAAATTCTTTAAATTGACGACCATTGCCATTGAAACGATTGCACAAACATTTTCACACAACGAACGAGTTATCTAAAAGTTGGGGGTTTTTTCCCGGAAGGTTGAAAATCTGTCGTTACGGGATCATTAAATTATGCATGGACGCGGTTCGGGATGACACGCGCTATTGCTTGCAATAGCAAATATTCGATCTAAATCTTTTCATATTTGGATATTTCACTGATTATAAACATTTATGGTCAACTAACGACTAAATATATACGGTAAACGAGTTGACTTCCGAATCATCTTCTCAATACGAACTTTTTAAGTATTTTTATAAGGTAATATTCTACTCTCACTTGTAATGGTTTTACATCTCCTATCTTATTCAGCATGGTAGAGCATGCCTTTGAAAATTGTTTTGTTATACAATCTTTTTAAAATGTATATAATTCAGTCGAGTAAAATTCATTATTTTTTAACCGTCCCGGTAGCTCAGTAATTAGAGCTCACTCCCTGATCGGACGGTCGTCGGTTCAAATCCCAGTCGCGACTGACCTAAGTCGACAAAAGTGGGTAGCAACTGTTCCTTCGCAAAGCGCTCGGCACTTTGGAGTGAAAGTTGCGGGTCCTTCGGATGAGACCTTTAAAAACTGAGGACCCGTGTCACATCAGGCGTTGGCACGATAAAGATCCCTCCCTGTTCAATGGCCCCGAGTGCCGAGTAAATGTCTAAATTTGAAGCCCTTCACCAGTATATGGTGACGTCTCTATATACTAGTATGAGAGAAAAAAAATTCTCTTACAGGACATAAAACAACATACAATCAATCATTATTTTTAACACTGTTGTACACTTGACAGCCATTCTACAAAAACAAACAGACAAAAAGACCCGATTTTACAAAATGCTAAAATTAGAACTTTTTAAAACTTTTCTTTTGTTGGTTTCTGATGCAATTCCCTCAGGTACAAAAGGGCTTTCAAAAGCCAGGGTTATCGATTTTTTTATTCTGGTTGTTTTGAGAATTGACGCTATTCAAAAATGGTGAATTTGTGCGATGCATATTGCAAAAAGGAGATCGATTTTGGGCAACTGGAAGCAGGTGAACCACAGTCTAAAAACGCTATAGGATTTAATGTTGCACAAAGCACCATATCACACACTGCATAAAATTTGTTATAAATGTTTTGTTGAAAACTGTTGGGAGGTTGATATATTCGACCATGGTAGTGTAATGATGTGGACAACTGTATTGTATACAAGCAGGACTGATTAAGTTCATAGACAAAGGACTTTGAGGGAATAACAGCACTCTGACGACGTCCAACCTGCACATGTCTCTCCAATAATACTTGCAAAGCCACAGCAACCTGTTCTGCCTTGGTCATCTTAAGCGCCAGATTTAAACCCCTTTGAATAGTCATTTGACAAAATGGATAGGTCAAAATTAAACGGGGGATTGGGATGGGTTTTATTTTGGCAGTTGTTCTCTTTCATTTCTTTTTCCTCTGGTATTCTCTAGGTCTCTTTTGATTTTCCTCTCTTTCTCTTACCGGTTGGTGTTCATCTCAATGCAAACCTTGGGATGGAGGTTGGGTGCATTCTGCATATGTGTCCTATCCACAGCCATTTTTTTTTCTTATTACCTGGAACAGAGGAGTTGTGTTAGTCTTTTTCTACATTCTTCATTTGAGATGGTATTAGGCCAGAAAATGCGCAATATTCTGCGAAGGCAGGGGTCTGAAAGGCATCTGGTTTGTTTGATATGGTCTTTGCTACTTTTCACGATTCAGCACCATAAAGGAGGACCCCAAGCACATTACTCTTGAAAATCCTAATTTTGGTATATATATGCTGATCTTTGCTGACCTAGCAAAAGCTAGGCGATTAACACTGTCAAAAGCTTTTGTAAAGTGGATAAAGTTGATGTACAGTGGAGAGTTCCATTTATTGCTCTGCTCTAACATTTGTCTGAGAGTGAATACCTGGTCGGTACATGACCTTCCCTTTCTAAATCCTGCTTGTTCTTTCTGCAGTAGAGGATCTGCTATGTCTGTGGTTCTGTTATGTATCACTCTGCTTAGTACTTTCGTGGTTACCGAGAGCAACATTATCCCTCTATAGTTGTTGCAATTTCAGAGGTCTCCTTTTTTTTGTAATTTAACTATAAGGCCTGTTTTTCAGAAAGTTGGTGTCTCTTCTGATTCCCATATCTTCTGTAGAATATTTGTCAAGATAGTAGGCGTACGGTATTCTTTGGCCTTGAGAAGCTCTGCATTTGTCTGATCAATGCCTGCAGCCTTTCCATTTTTCAGTTTTGCTATTGCCTTTTTCACCTCTTCTACACTGGTTGGATCTGTATTAATGTCCAATGTGTCCATGGCTGGTTTTATTATGTCTTAGTTTTCTGTATCGTTAATATTGAACACTTCCTCGAAATGTTCTTTCCAGCGTTTTTGTATGTCTTCTTCTTTTGATAATACATTTCCTTTTTTGTCTGTAACTGGTAAATCTGATGACTGAAATTTACTTGCTAGTGTTTCTTCTTTGCACAAGATTTATCATTACTCTGATTAAGGAGAACATCCAGAAAAAAATCAAAGATAGTACATGTACAAAACGCATAGGTCAAGTCCACGTTGGGGGCAAGATATGGCTATCTGATGAAGTTCTTGTATTGACTCCATTCGACCTTGACCTTTTTGGAGTCGTGAAGTTTTACTCAGAGTTGCTTGTATGCATATCCACTCTTGTTTGCCAGATACAATGAATGATTAAAAAATCTCTGGTTTGCCTGTTTTAATGTAAATTTAATGAAAGTTTTTAAAATATTAGGTAATTCCCCTTCGCGGGTATGTTAAGGCTACACCCAGATATCCTACTTGCCTTTACAATATGACGTCATAGTAAGCTGTATGACGTGAACTTTAGAAATAATGATTTCTTAATATCTTTATTTAAAGTTTAATTCTAGGTCAAAGAAATGAATGGAATCATTCAAAACATAATATAAACTAAATCTTGTCGTTTTTGGGTGGTATAAACAGCTAAGTATTTAGCACGGGGGTTAAATACCAAACCCATGACGTCATAACTATTGATCAAATATTTGCCGAGTGAAATTAAACGTGACGAGAATTCATGTAAACAAATAGATGAAATGGGAGTTTTAAAGCATATACCATGAATTTTATGTGATTCATACGGAATTAAAAATTAAGAATCAGGTGAGCTGATATATTCTTATCATGTTTTCTTATAATGAACACAGGCAGTGCTTTGAAATCCCGATCAGCCTTTCCTCTGTCAATCTATAACAACAAAGATGCAAAAGTTCAACACTACGCCGCATACTTTGAAACATAATTTTTGTTTGTATCGAAAGCTTGTATTCTATAGTACTTGGAAAGTGCTGCTAGAATCGTGTGGTTAACATGAATTGATAACAATTCCTTGATCGTATGTATAAAATGTAAAAATTTGGGTAAGGTTTCATGCGAAACTTTGGAATATTTTTTTCTTTGTCGGGAGAGTAGGATTCTAGCAGCACTTTTCATGGCCCAGTGATGTTTTTACATAATTATTTTCACTAAAAGAAATGAATTAGCTCCGGGGTAGTGTTGAACTTTTCACTTTTTCATTAAGGCAATTTTTCTATTTATAGACGTCACGTGATGACGTCGTAGTGGAGTGCTTCTTTTAGCCTAAGACTCAATGACGTCTATACAATGGATAATAATAGTAAATGTTTTATCTAAGGCTTTTCCGATTTATCAATGTTACATTTTACGAAAAAAGTCTAAATTCGCCGAAATATGATCTGGGTACTACCTTAACATTCCTGCGTTATTAAAATTGTATTCAGTTGGTTTTCAAGACTTACTTTATACATGTACATGTACCGTCTTAGTTTTTCAAGATAGTTTTGCTATACAGCTCAAAACTAGAAATATGTCCATAGGACATGAATGCCCCGCCGGAGGTATATTAGTAATGCAACATGAAAATTTGAATTAGTGTATGAAATTTGTTGATTGATTGATTGATTATTATTGTTTTACGCCGAGTCGGCAATATTTCAGCCATATTTCGGCGGGAAATTTGTTGTGAATATCTTGAATAATTTCTTTAAAATTGGAATTGAAATCTAAAAAGTTGGATATAGATGATAAATTCTCACCAAATTATGTACAAGTGCATAAGCGTACATAAATATGTCTTAAATGGTTTCCTTAAAATTAAGCAAAATGCAAATTTAAGAAAAATGAGGTCAAGGTCACAGGAAAGTTCAAGGTCAAACGTTTTTGATGCAGTTGAATAGTTCTCACAAATACTCATCAGCATATTAAGTTTGATAAAAATATTTTGAATGGTTTATTTAAAACTGAGCTAAACACTAATTTAAAATGAATGAAGTTAAGGTCAAAGGAAAGGTCAAGGTCAAAAAATGTTGATGCAGTTGAAAAGGTTACATCAGTATGTATCAGCATATGAAGTCTGATAAAAAATATTGTGAATGGTTTCTTTAAAACTGAGTTAAATACAAACTGAGAAAAGTGAGGTCAAGGTCAAAGGAAAGGTCATGGTCAAAAAATATTAATGCAGTTGAATAGCTTACATCAGTATATATCAGCATATGAAGTTTGACACTAATTTAAGAAAAGTGAGGTTAAGGTCAAAGCAAACGTCAAGGTAAAAAAATATTGATGCAGTTGAATAGCTCTCATCAATATGTATCAGCATATGGAGTTTGATAAATATATCTTGAATGTTTTCATTAAAACTGAGCTTAACACTAATTTAAGAAAAGTGAGGTCAATGTCAAAGGAAAGGTCAAGGTCAAAAATATTGATGCAGTTGAATAGCTTACATCAGTATACATTAACATATGAAGATAGATTACACTATCTTGAATGGTATCTTTAAAACTGAGCTTAACAGTAATTTAAGTATTTAAGTAAAGTGATGTCAAGGTTAAAGAAAAGGTCAAGGTCAAAAAATGTTGATGCAGTTGCATAGCTCTCATCAATATCTATCAGCATATGAAGTTTGATAAAAATATCTTGGATAGTTTCTTTGAAACTGAGCTTTGAACAGAGCTAAACGCATAGCGCTACGGAAAGACAGACGGAAGGATGGAAGGAAGGAAGGACGGAAGACGGACATGACAAACACTATATGCCCTGGCCGTATTCATGGCGGGGCATAAAAATCTTTAAACAAACATGCCTTTGTAAACTAATTAAATGCACATTTTGAAAATAAATATTTTGCCACTAAACAAAGGCGCAAACAAAACACATGGTAAATTTTACAATTCTATTTAGTTAAAAAATATTTTTAATTGATAATTTTCTTTATTTGAACTGCTCAGTTGCTCTTCTGTTTGAATGAATAGCAGACTTTATTCATTTAGGCATGTTAAGAACGAAGTTGTCACAGACCCATTTTGCAACGGAGCAACGTTCTCGCTAGAGTTTGTGTTTGAATCAGGGTTCTTCCAAGAGAGTGTAGAACTTCATCTGAGAAATACTTAACAAGAACGCAAGGTACTTAACAGCATTCAGTACCTCCTGATGAACGGAAGAGAGCTTCTAACACGCAGTGCATTTTCTACACTAACACAGCCGAAAAGCATTTTTGATTGAAAATCAATCTAAAACATTTAATTAAGGTGAAAATTAAGGTGGAATAAGGAGATTTTATTTAAAACATGCCAACGGCTTAAAAAAAAAAAGACATATGGAAGATACTCTAACGGAAAGGTTCTTAATTCCAAGCTGGCTCTGTGAAAACTTCGTTCATGGCAAAAGGGGGAGCAACGAATTGCAAAATTCGAATCGGTTGATGGAAATTATAATCACATTCTCTCTCTCTCTTAATGAGACAATCATATCATAGCTGTATTCTCAATTTAGCATTTTGGCCCCAGGCCTACTGATTTTAAATTCTTAACTGTTTGTAGCCAAAATTCATATTCATTCTTACAAAATTTACATGGTATCATTATTCTACAGGGGTAATTTTTTCTTCATGTAGGATATGCAGATTTTAGTGGTGATGACACTTTTTCTACAGGCAAATTTGTCTTTGATCAGAATTGTGCAAGTTTAATCTAATCTGAAAATGAATCTGAAACGAATCTGAATCAGAGGGATCGCGATCCCGATCTGAAAACTGAGAAAGATATCATCATAAGAAAATTCTTAATTATACAATGAATAATAATAACATTTGATTATTTCTTTGATTTATTTTTCAATTTTAAGGTGTCGAGGAATATATCGAATCTAAATCTGAAAAATGTTTGATCCTCCTCCTCTTTCTGAATTTAACTAGTTCATAATTACTTTTGCGGAATACCCGGTGTCGTCGGATATCCACGGGTGAACTCGTCTTTTACTCATCACCCGTGGACAAACTCGAGTTTTTGGCGAGTTTGCCCACGGGTGATGAGTAAATGACGAGATCACCTGTGGGTATCCAACGATGGCGAAATACAAGTACATGTATCTATGATTAATATGTCATGAAAATGCCATGAAACAATAATGGGAAAAAAAATAGTGGATGATGTTTATATTTTTGTTATTTGGATGGGGATGTTATAAAAGGGACAAGTCAAATTCTGTAGACTGCATAACAGAGCAGGTTCCCCTTCAACTCACAGAAAAACCTGCTCATAAAGTATCATTGTTGTATTATTTACCTACTTACATTATTTGTTCCTCGCAAGAATTGTGTTCTGGACTCTGTTTTAAAAAAATATTCTGTGTAAATGTATACATACGAGTCATTTTATATATTTATATGTAATTGAAAATTATGTCGGATAAAAACCTTTTTCAGCAACCCCGTGGCCACTTTCTCGCAGCCAAATTTTTTGTCGAAAGTTTTCAGCAATTTACATTGATGTCTACAAGTTTCTAAGTTAAACGTTTCCTTTCATTTCTCGGAAAATTTTCTTGATTGAAGAAGAATGTGGCTTGTTACAATGTATAGTAAAAAGTTTAATTTGTCTCCTACATCTCAAAGAAAACACAATTCTCCCGAGGAACGAATATTTACTGAATTGAACAATAAAATAATACAAAACTGATAACTTTCGTATGTATTGAAAAGACACTTATTACTATATACTTGTAGAATGTAATATGGATGCTTTGTAGGACGCAATTACAGTATGGGAATGGGGCGCAACTGAACAAAAAAACAAAAGTCTACAAACTTTATTAATGAGGTACATAACCGTTATTTTGATAATTTTGATCTGATTATGTTGTGTAGTATATAACGGCAAAATTAATAGGAAAGGGGGGGGGGGGCTGGTCTTTATGTCTCCTCCAGCTCTTCTGGCCTGATATCATTTCATTATTTTCAA